TTATTTTCTTCGAAAAGCTTTAGCCCTAAACAGAGAGTTACGTTAAAATAAAACTACTTCAAACACAGAAAGAAAAATAGAGAAATGAGAGGAGGGGGGAATGATTAAAACTAAGAATATTGTACATTTCTATAGTGTCTCTCATCCCACAGCACTTCAGATTACATATACTCAGCATCGCTGAAATGCAGCCAACTCTGGGGTGGAGAATGATGGCCAACTGGCACACAGTGCAGGAATTTTGGCCAGGATCCCAGAGAGGGGGAAGGGGGCACATCTTCTTAAAGAAAGCGTTAATGTCCTCCGAGGACAGGCAGAATGAAGGTCTCATCTGAAAGACCCAGCACTGCTTTATCCTCCTCAAAAAGATGAAGGGCTGAGACAATTCTGCCAGGATTTCCAGGGAGTCTATGTATTTCCACCTTCATACTTATAACTGCAAGTGATCCCTTCCATCAAAGCCAGCTTCAAACGTTGCACCAGATGGCGCTCCTCTAATCCGGTCACCTAATCCTGTTACATGAGAGCTGCTGTGGTTACAATTCCTAAATACCCTTCCAAGAGTTGATGGCCAAGCCCCGGAAATCCTGAATGCCACCAAAAACCCAGACCGGAGATCTGACTTCCAGTTAGCGAAGGTACAGGAGTTTGGGACATATAGAGTGCTGGCTCCCATGCTGGTACCAAGAACGTGCAGAGATCCCTGAACTTCACAGGAACTGAGGGGAAATCCCAGTTTGAGGGAGACATGTTCCGCGCAGCCAGACAGAGAAACACCTTAAACACACACAAGGAGCAGGCGAGGCTGAAGTTGATGAATCGAGAAGCAGGCAGACGGCATCCTGGGAAAACGGAGCATTGCAGAACAAAGCGCTGCCCTGACTTGGTATCTCCAGATATGGCTCATCTCGTGTTTGCCACTCAGTGGGCAGCTCCCGAGAGCCTCCAGGTGTCCAGCCTGGCATCTCGAGGACAGCTCAGGAGCGGGCAGCCTGATCTGAATTGGCACCGATGGACTGTTCACTAAAACAGGACAAAACCCATAAGGTCCTTCCAACCAGGGAGTGTCTGTTCCCTAGTGTCTAAAGCCCCATTGCTTGGACCAGTTAAAACAAGACTGGGCAATGCACTAGTCATTCTTCCCCTCCTCTGGGACCCGATTCCATCATCTCACGGTCAGGAAGTTTCCCTGGGCATTCACCCTACATTTTCCCTTTCCTAATTTCCCCCCATTTCTCCCGGCTCTACCCCTCAGGCCAGCCTAAGTCATCCCTCGTCCTCCTCTCAAATATTTGCAAACTTCTCTCCCCATTGGGGGCCATCACCATAAAGGCGTTTCAAGCTTTCCTCACAAATGCCTGAACCGCTCGGATCATTTCTCTTGCTCTTCTCTGAAGTCCCTCCAGTTTGTCAATAACCTTCTGATCACAAGGGGCGCAGAACTGAACGCCGGATTCCCCATGGGGGTGAAAACGTGCTCGCTTTTCAAACGGTGTTAGGGTAACACAGTCATTTATTGTTACTACTAAAGGAATGGGATTTTTATTTATACGCTATGGGCCAGAGCCTCTGCTGGTGTGACTCGACACCGATGAGCGTGAGCTCCAGGGCCCAGGCTGTGTCTGATCATCGTGCCCCTTAGGAGGGTTCGCTCAAGCCGGAGCAGCTCACCCTTTTAGTTCTGGAGATTGCCGGTTCAGTCACTGGCGGGTCGGCCAAGACGGGGCTGTCACAGTACCCAATTTACCCCAGCTGAGAATCCGGACCGATATTTATGAACACAAAAATGATGAAAAATTAATATGACCCGAGGCTGGAACTGTGCAGGTGTCATGCTGAGGATTGCAAACGCATCCTCAAGAAAACCCTCTCTCTGGGATGTCAGTGGCAGGAGTTTAGGGGAAGCTGTCCCTGAGCCCAGCCACAAAGTGTATCAGGGACACTACGGCATAGCTGTGAGTGACTCTTACTGACTCTCCGTTGCAGCAGGTGCCCCCAGGCCTTTGTTTCTTTCCCATCTCCAGACACTTTGCACCCATCAGTCCCTGCAGAGTAGTTCTCAAAGGCTTCTGGGTAACAATGGACCTGACCAACACAATTGAGACATTGATCTGGATTCAGACCCTCCCCTCCCTCCAAGTTCAGAGATGCCTGGATCTGGCATTTTGATTTGGCCCATTAGAGAGTTAGGGATCCGGTGTGAAATCTGCATTCAGCTCCAGCTCTGGATTCCAGCTCCTTCTCCAACACTTCAGGAGGATTTAGTTCCAGGGTCCCGTCTTGGGACCAGTTGTATGTCGGGGGGCAGGCAGCATCAGCACCAGGTGGCAGCAAAGACAAATGGGTTCAGATCCTTTGGAGACATGGAGATGGGATCAGCCCTCTGAGGAGGGCGAAGAGGATTTATTCTGCAGGGAAAGGCTGGAGCCGCATGACTTGGGGCAAGGGGACAGTTATACTTGATGGCAGAACTGGGACTCTGCTAAGGAGAGAGGGGAGGGGAGCAGCACTTGAAGGGAAAATGAGTTTTCTCAGGGGCTGCCTTGGTCCTGTATGCTATTTACAGATGGATCATTTTCACCTCTTGGTTCTTACATGGGGTCACTGGAGAGAGTTCTGAGGCCATTCAAAGGCATTGTAAGCATCATGGAATGATGGGTCTAAGTCCTGACCCAGCCCTAGGGGTTGGAGGGAGACCCAAGGCAGCAGTGAGAACCAGCACTGCTGGGGGGGCTGACAGGGGCCCACTGGGAAGGGCACTGAAAAGGAGTGGAATTGGGAGGAAGAGACTAGATAGGGGCCTGGAAAAAGGTGTGTGGGGAGGGTGGGGGGTGAAGGGCTGGATGGAATGATGCTTTATGGGTGGCCTCATAGCCTAGGTGCCTCTGGGCCCAATTTAATGCACCCGTGACCCCCATTAGCTGTTTACAGCCCCACGACATCACCCTCTTCCTGCCTACCCCACATTCACTTCCGCGGCTATGGAAATCAAGGGCTCTCTACTAGCATCATCAGCCCCCTCCCCACCAGCTCTTGGGTCTGGAAGATGCCCCCGAGTCTCTCCACCCGGCTCTCTCGCCTGGTCTTATATCCAACAAGCAGCAGGGCTGTGGGATCAGCTGGCGTCATTCCAGGGTCCCGGCTCTGACATGGAGACCACTCCCAGCACAGAGCAGAGAGGACGGGCATTTCCCCCTGGGCCTGCGAAGACAGCGCAGACAGAGGGACCGAACAGATGATAGACTGACTACTGATACCTAGAAATATCTCTTATACAGACCACAGATGCCTGGGGGCCCCCACCAAGCGCTGAGGGGTCAGATTAAAGTTCATTGCGATGACTGGGATGCTTATGCGTTTTCAGAACACTATATAAATAATACAGGGAAATGCCTTGCACCCATTCATCATGGGCTGTGACAGCTGCCTCGCGGGGTGTGCCCAGCTGCGTCTGAGCGCAACAGAGCTGCAATGGAAGCGCTCTGCATGGCTGTTGGCACCTGCACCTTCCAGCCTGCCTGAAACCAGCCCGCTGGGCATGGCGTCATGGCAGATCCCATAGAGAAGATTCCTGGCAACGTGCTCAGAGAGAGGGAGTGTTTTCCAGAGCCCAGGACTAGGAATCAGGACTCCTGGCTTTTGGTCCCACACTGACTGTGTGACTGTGGCAACTCACTTAACTACTCCATGCCTCAGTTTCCCCATCTGTCAAATGGAGATAATAATACTAATTCCCCACTTGTGAGGGTGTTGAGAGGTCGCATTAATGGCTGAAGCTGTCTGAGGGCCTTGCACGAAAGGGGCAGAGGATCATTGTTATAACCCAGGCTGGTTTATCACCTCTCAGTTCCCACTACAGCTGTGAAGGCTGAAGCCAGCGACCATCATCCATCTGCAGGATTCAAGGAACCAGACAAGATTTCCACGTAAGGAATGGGTCTGCTGGAGACGATGCCCAGAGCTGGTAGGTCTCCACAGAACTACAGCCTACGAAGTCTCTCTCTGTCCGAGTTCACACCTGAGGTTACAGGTGCGAGACAGAAGTGTTAGCTGGGATCCCCTATAACATGCACTCAGGGCTTATCAGGGGACAGGCCTGCAGGACCATAAACACAGAAATTTCCGGACTGGACCAGACAAGGGGTCTATTGGCTCCAGGACCTTGTCTCTCTCAGTCAGTGACCAGTAACTAATGCTCTAGAGGCAGGGGCAAGAACCCCAGAAGGGGCATTTCACAAGCAAGCAGCTTGCAGGGAAGTTTATTCCTGACCACAGGTAACTGGAGCAGGCGGGTTTCTACACCTTGTTTTCCAGCCCACGGTTCCTGTGGAGGTTCTGCTGGTTGTGGGAGTTTCTATTATTAAACCCGTGCCAGGCGGAGGGGTTTACAACTCAGTGCCTATTAGATAACACAGGACTCTTAGACTAAGGGCACAGACAAATGAGATAGACCAGGAGCAGCCACATTCAAATGACATTCACTGGAGCTGCCAGGAGATTCAGCGTTAGGGCTGTCACCCATCCTCAACCCACCCCCTTTTACGTGGGCACGGGGGTCCCCCACACTCCAGCAAGGGTACCCAGCGGGGGTTACAGATGTGGGGAGGTTACGATATGGGGTTACAGATGGAGCTTGGACCTGGGCCGGGAATCTCCTGCCTTGGCTACGGTGGAATAGCCGGTGTGTTCCGCCTGTGACATGCACCCAGCGGATCTTGCATTGCGGTCAGCAGCTCCCTTGCAGCCGGGGAGCACCTTGCTGCGGGAGCCCGCCGGGCTCCAGGCCCGTCCTCAGCAGGGCAGGAGCAACCTAGCCCGGGGCACCATCCTCCCAGGGCTGAGGCAGGTGGGGCACCAGCCTGCAAAGGCATCTCAGAAAACGATGCAACAGGTCGGGGATGGGGTTCAGGTGGCTCAAATCCTGCGGGGTTGCCCCTGCTCCCGGCACGGGGAGGGTTTGCTGCCCCCTCCAGCCCCCAGAGCAAAGGAAAGGCTCTTACTGGTTTGGGTTTCTTTTTAGGGGTCAGGCTGTCATAGAAAGTCTTGGCTTCCTCCCAGCGCTGCGGCGTCCCGGCCTCCTGCGCCCCGCCGGCCGCTTGGCCAGCCGCGGACGAGCCTTTCCCAGCGGCTGCCGGCTCCATCTCCCCGGCTCGGAGCGGGCGGCCGGAGCCGGAGCGCGAGCGGCTGCGCTGCTGGGTCTCCCCGGGACGCGGCGCGCGCGCCTCAGCCCCGCTGCTCCGCTGGCGGGGGCGCTTTATAGGGCCGCCCGCCCTGCGCCTAGATCGGAGGGGCCAGCTGGGTTAACCCGTGCGGCGCTGGAGCCTGCCGGGCTCTTCCCATCCAGCGCAGCCCTGCCCTGCAACCCGGGTGGGGGCTGGAAACCAGCGCCAGGCTGGGCTGAGCCGCTGGGGGTCGGTGCTGCAGACACGGACAGGGCCCTTCCTGCTGGTCCTTCGGCGCTCCGGGCAGGGCAGCGCGAGCTAATGGGGAGGGCAGCTGACCTGGCTGGGGTCAGGATGCCTGGGTTCCCCTTCTGGATCTGCCACGGTGGGTGACCTTGGGCCAGTCACGTGCTGCCCGTGCCTCTGTTTCCCCTCTTGTCCACTTCGATCGGTGAGACTCAGACTTGGCGCTTTAATGGGTCTCCTGCGGCTCTTTGCAGCACATGCTAGTCAAAGGTCCTGTGAGTGGCTACCTAGTGCTAGAGTAAATGACTTCGCCTGCCTGGGGCTCTTGGGGGTAATGGTGAGCGCTGATTTGGCTCCTGAGGTCTGAATATGGCTGCTTTAGACTGTAACCCCGTGGACTCTTTTATTATGTGTATGCACCGCACCTAGCACAATGGGGCCTTGATCCGTGTTGGAGCCCCTGGGGGCTACAGCTGCTGTTCTCAGGAGAGGGGCACAAGGGTATTCGGGGGCGCTCAGAGAAGACAAAGGCCGAGATCTGCAAAGGTATTCGGGCTTCTAACCTCTACTGAAGTCAAGGGGAGTTAGGAGCCTAATTACCTTTGAAGATCTAAGCCAAGGCCCCTGCCCCAAGGAGCTAACTCAGATGGAAACAATAAATGGGACAACGGTCATGGGCTGCCCAGGGACTGAGGAGCGAGGCAGGAGGCTTGGCAAATGGAGTATGTTTTAAGGGAAGATCCCAAGTAAGAGAGGAAGGGTGCTTAGGGGCTGGAGATAGGAGGGTACTCCCAAAATAGAGGATGTCAGGAAAGATGGTTGAAAGCTGAGAGTGGGGGGAGGAGGCAAAGGGAACAGGTAGAAGAGAGGGTACAAAGGAGCAGGAGGGTTGAAAGGGTAATAATAATACCTAACTCTGTATAGCGCTTGTTGGCAGTCGATCCCCCAATGCTTCACAATCTTTAATGTATTTATCTTCACACAACCCCTGTGAGCAGGAGAGTTATCCCTGTTGTGCAGACGGGGACCTCAGACCCCGAGAGGCTAAGTGACTTGCCCAGGGTCACACCGGACATCTGTGGCAGAGCTGGGAATTGCATCTGGGTCTGCCAAGTCCTGGGCTAGGGCCCTACCTACTTAGGGTGGAGTTATGCAAAGCCCTGGAAGAGAGGAGGAGCTTCAATTTGGTGCTGCAGAAGAGAGGGTGCTGGTGCGAGGACTGCTGTGGTTGGAGCACTGAGAGAGGAAGATGAGCTAAGCAGTGACATTTTGGGGCAGGGAGATGCGGGCAGATTGTGCTAGTCAAGGCATGAGAAGGCCGAGAGATGGGCCAGGCTTTTCCCAACAGGGGTGCAGAGGAAAGGTTGGAATCTAGAGGGTGGATGAGGCAGGAAACTAGAATTTGGCGAGGGTCTGTCTGGGGGCACCAGAGAGGAACCCCACCTTGTGAAGCTGGGAGCCAGGGAGGTGATGGAGTTCTTGGCAGTGATGGAGACCTGGCCACCTTTTGATAAACGGATGAATGACAGGTTAGTCCTGCCGGTGGAGTGCAAAGGGCTGTAAATCACCCAGAGTAGTTGGTGCAAAGCCGGTGCTGGGTAAATGTCAGGAAGCCTTGAAACCCCTGGTGGGAACGGCGTGAGTCCATCATCCTCCAGCAGGTTCCTCAGGGCAAACAGATCCATGGTTTGGCGGTTTGAGATGGAGACACTGCAGTGCACTCATCAGGCTGCAGCCGCCCTTCCTCCGAGTCCCTGCAGGGGGGACCCTGCTGTGCATTAGTGAATGGAATTATTAATCTTATTCATTAGCTAATAAATCATCTCCCAAGTGGATTCGTTTATATAGCCCAGCCCATCTGAGTGAAGTCTGAGGCCCAACTTTAACTGCTAAAAAACACCACTTGGGACCCTTTCCCCCTACAGTTGTGCAAAGAAATGCACAGGCAGGAACTCACTGAATCCAGGCTGCAGAAGGCCGATTCTCCCTCTCGCTGAGCACACGATAAAAGAAAGCAGCTTCTGCTGCAATGTTATCGGAAACAGCAACCACCCCTTGACAGCAAAACCTAGAACCGAGCCACACCCTAACCCACCCCTAGACAAGGTCACTTCAAAGTCACCGCTGCACTGAAGACTAGAGCTGGGCAAAAAAATGGAGACTGAAGTTTTCCATCGGAAAACGCTGTTTCACTGGAATCAAAATGTTTCCCGGGCACGTGTTGACTTTGGTGAAATGTTGGACAGAAAAGTTTCAAACTCAAAGTGGAGTGTTTCATTTCAGCTTTCTCGTTTAAACTATTTATTATCGGCTCGTCATTATTATGGATAAATATAGAACATTCTATATTATGCTGTGACATTTCATTTCAACACAGTTATTGCAAGGTTTCCAAATCAAAATGCTTCAGAATCTTTTCTTCTGTGAATATTTCAACCTTTCATCTAGATTTGGCACAAAACAAATTTCAAAATGTCAGAATTTTCCGCGGGACAGAAATCCCATTTTCTGCCCAGCTCCACTTCAGACCAAGGGAACCAACAACCTCCCCCTAAACTAAATGGTCCTCAAGGCACTAGATCAAGACCTGTGGAAGAACAGTATATGAGTCACTGGGAAGAACAGATCAAAACCAACAAACCAGGCTGTAGTGTTAGGAACTCAGACCAAACAGAGAATCAGGGCCCACCCACTAGAGTTGGAAACTGAGCGACACAAAGCACAACCCAGGCAGGAAGGTACAAGGCGGAGAGACAACACCCCACCCTGCAGCAACCTGCTACTGGATCAGGCAAAACGGGCTATAGTGACAAATGGACCCAGGGGATAAAGCCCCAGACCCCATGGGCAGCGCCAGGCTGGGCAGATGCTCGGTGAATCGTATTTGTCTCTGCCAGGGCTCCAAGGGGGTTGGCCTATTTACACTTTGGCAGCCCTGAGGAATTTTAGTCAGGACTCCACTCATGGACTTTGAGTGTAGCAAGGGACTGTTGTCAAGGATCCCATCTGCTTCCCTTAGGACTCACCCTTCCTGCCTGTGAGATGCGACAAGGCCATGAGATATGTGTTTTGCACAATATTTTATCCAGCAATTAAAGGGGTAATTTTCAGAGCTGATTGCCCAGGGGCTAATCAGACCAGCAGGCACCTGCTGTCTCATTGTTAGCTAGAAGCACCAGGGAATGGGCAAAACCTGAGACGCTGTTGCATCTCATGTTCTAACCGGCACCTAAGGCTGGGGGCTATGGTGCTGCCGGAGAACAGCATTGACTTCAGAGGTGGCTCCCGTGCTGGAAATCCTCTCTCTGTGTGTTTGGTAACAGTTCAACCTTGACAAAGGACCCCAGGAAGTGCTGTGCCAGTCTCCATACCCAGCACCGACACCAGGGCAGGAGTGGGAGGGTGGCCACTGAGAAGAAGCTACATCACCATCCCTCCTGGAACAGATCCAGCGATTCCAGTCCAAGGCTGAAGTTACTGCCCTTTCTAATAGCATCGCTGGCTCGTTACCAGGGTCAAGGGCTGGGGCTTGCACACAGAGTAACACAGTTATGGGATTTGTACCGTTTCTCCTTCCCCAGACACTTGCAGAGCTGCACACGCCTGGGAAAGTTCAAAGCGACCCCATCTAACCGACCTCAGCCCCAGCTAAGCTCAGGAGACTATTTTGTTGGGGCAAAGCCTTCAAGTGCCCCTGACCCCGTCCCCGACCACAGCTTATATAAGTGCAGCCCACGCGTGACCCAGCCAGCTGGCCAGGCACAGGGACCCACCGTGACCTGCACGCAGGCTGCTTAGAGCAGCACCAGGCCAGTTGCCGTGGATGTCTCCGCAGCCAGTCTTTGTCGCCTCCCTCTGGGGCTCCAGAGCCTGGGAAGTGAAGTACCGAGCTCCCCGGGCAGAAGGCAAGCTCCCCCCCCGGGCTTTGGGGAGCGCCCTGGGGCTGTCCCCTCAGGAACAGCAACCGGATAGCTTGTCTATGCTGCAGTTTTAGATCTGTCTCCCTCCCTTGTCCTAGCTGTGGGGCAGCTCCACCTGTGTAACGAGGGCACAGGTGTTTGCACCAGGATATCGTCTAACTCAGTGGTTCTCATTTGCAGACCCCTAAAAAAAATGTCAGACAGAGGCGTGTGAACCCCTTTGGAAATCTTAGGCATAGTGTGCAGACCCCCAAGGGCTCACGGAGCACAGCTTGGAAACAACGGATTTCACTCCCGTGTAGGTGACAGTGGGAAAGGCCCCTGAGCCCCCTCTACACTAGGGCTGCCCGCTGTGCTCCTGCCAGTGCCAGAGCAATAACTGGAGAGTTCCTGAAAAATGCCAGGTAAACACGCCGGGGCAGCGACGCTTTGGGTCTGACCCCCGCCAAGCGCTGAGCGCTTCCGCCGCCTACGGCAGCGCCTCAGCCCCTCTCAGGATCAGGCCCTTCATCGCACAGCGCCGCCCGCGCTGTTGGAACCGAGCGAGAAAGGACAGGGACAGCCGGGGCAGAGCCGGGTTTGCCAAGTCAGCCTCCGCTCCGCGCCGCCAAGCGAGGCTCAGCACCCGCACTGCGGGGAGGCCTGGGG